TATTTAGTTATATTATATTAAAAATTTATTCTATATTTATTTATATTTTTAAAGAGGAACTAATAAAAAAATCATGTTATGTACTAAATTTTTATATAATTTGAGGAGATATCACGCTGGCACATCAAAGAGAAAGGAGGAATTTTTACGGCTGGATAATTTTGAATATACTTCCAGAGACTAAATTCAATTGATTTTGGTTTTGGGGAGATTGGGAATTAAAAGTTTCCAACGCGATAAGGGTTAGTTATTTTGTAATTTTAATTATAAAATAAAAATAATTAAATGGTGAATATATAAATTTTAATATTAAGAGCTCATCTATATTTTATAATTACTTTTTTTTCAATAGTAATTTTATTAATACGAATATAAGAATACTTAATTCATATAATTACAAAATGATAGTCTATTTTATTTATATGTACTTACAATATTACATTTTATATTTTATGTTATACACTTTGTTACAGTTTTGTATAGCATTATACTTTATTTTTTGAGGTAATAAAATATTAATTCCTTATAGATTGCCAAATGGCAATTATTACCACCCAGAAATTAAATGAATCACATGATATATGTTTTCTTTTACCTTAGAGAATACTATTATTCTCCCTTCAAACGTTTTAGATATTAAGATTACTAATTGAGTTAAAGTTGGTCCTAAATACTAATTGTTTTGTAATTTATGATTAATTTAATAGAGTTACTGATTTATTTGAAGTTTTAATTTATTGACTACTTGATAGGTGCTTGAATTATTCTTGTAAATTATACTTTATTCGAAAAAAAAAATCAACGAGATTTCTTTTCGCACGTTAAAATGTATAAGATGCATTCCTAAAAAGTTGGATGGAGTATTAACATATTAAAATTAATTAAAAGTACCATAAATTTCAAAAAATTAATTATTAGTAGGATGGTAATAAGGGATAGGGAGAGTGAAAAATCAACCCACGCTAATTATATATTTATGAAGGAGTGGAGTGAATGGTGTTATTTACATTTTCGGAATTTGCTTCTCCAATCTATCGTCATTAGTCTTTTAACTTCAGTTCAAAAAATCTACTGTCATTAGTCTATCTTTATCAATTCATATTTCTACCATATCAACCAACTACTCCAAATTCTGACGACAGTCCAAAAAAATCAAACTTCATGTGTTGTCAAGACTGCACGTATTTTTAAAGATTAGTCTGCCAATTTTAGTATTCCCCACTACAGACCATGCATACATGCCTCTACCCCTGAGTAGTTACTTTCAAAAAAATGTTCTCCCATGCATTATCATGAATTGATTTTATTTTGTTCTCCCATGTGACTGGGAACGAATACCTCCAAAAAAATGGAACCTCCGGATGCATTATTTTGTTGATCACGGGTGGCATTGATTTTTCTTTTCCTCTTTGGTTCCCATCAGTTGTTCTTACAGATGTGGCTCTGATTTTACTTTACCCTTAATGGAGTTATTTATCTTTAGTCTCTACACATTATTTATCTGTTGATTCTTTAATTTTGTAATTATTTGATTGAATTTTACTAATTATCAATACTTGATCGAATGGTACAGCAGCTTCCGCCTATTATCTTATTTTAGTGCCCATTAGCTGGTTGTTGAAATGCCCTATAGATTTTCTAAGCCAAATCTACACATAAAATTTCATATTAGTTTTACCAATCCTTCTGTTACTCTATTTACCTTCTCTTTGTTTTTTTTAGGATGCCTCACTTATGATCCCCACGTTCCGACTTACTAACTACAATCACTAGTTACATGTCCCAACTCCGTGACATCCTTTTCCTATTTTTCGGGTACTACTAATATGTACTAATTGCCCTCTTAAAAAAAAAATTACCTCATTTATCTGTCGTTCTAGTGTTGCCACTAGAACCATTAGTGCATGCTAGACCTGGCAAACGGGCGGGTTGGGTCGGGTTAGGATTGAGTCAACTCGGGTGACGGGTTAGATGGGTTGGGTTATAAACGGATTGCGGGTTAGAAACATCCAACCCTAACCCGACCCTAACGGGTTACGGGTTAACCCGTGGGTTAACTTTATTTTATTTTTTATAATTATTTTTTGTTAATTTTATTATACACAAATAAAATTATATATATCTAAATATAATTAAAATATTGTGATTCATTAACACTAAATATTTTATAATTTCAATTAAAAAATTTTTTTTTTTTTTGATCAGCAAAGCAACGTACGTTATATATTAGAGAAGGAGCATAAGAAATACTCCCAAAACAGAGTCAGTCCGGTGAGGTCAAGATACATAACACAGTTACCTACCTCATTCCAAAAGACAAAATCACAGGACAGCCATCAGGAAATCAACAGGAGAAGAAAACAAAACAAATCCGTTTCCTGAACCTTATAGCGGCTTGCGAACCCAAATCGACGCCATGCCCTCCAGAACCCTTACAATAGACGAAAAGAGCAGATTGTGCACCTCCCCCCCATTAGCTAGGGACCACTACTGCCTTAGAGAACTGCTTCCTCATCCTTTTATGCCATTTGACAG